TTTTTAATTATTTGGATTATGTTATGTGCCACCTTTTGGCAGTCTTGTTCAGATAAAGGTCAGACATAGCAAACTTACTTCATATTTCAACTATTTGTGGTTAATGAATGTTTATAATCTAGGGCAAGAGTCAAGGGTAAGTGGTATTAAAATGGTTTCCCTGGAAAAGGGGAAGATGATTTTTAAAAATAAAATCCAATTAATTTATTGTGTGTAAAAAGGAGTAATGCAGTGTGAGATTTAATCGGCTTAATCAAAATTAGCTTTTAGCTGTCTCATCCTGCAAAAGAACCACGACTGGCGCGATTGTGAATCTTTACTGAGATTCCTCGTGATAAGCTAAGACAACATAGGCGCAAAGCCTAATCTGTGCTCTCTAGTCCATTTTCGATGGCTACCCCAGAGCACAGGGGTTGAGACTGATCAGCAGGGTTACATGAGAACACTCTCTGGAGCTCTGAGAAGTGATGTCCTATTCTCAAGCAAGGTTTTCCGACGAGGACAAACCAACACAAATGATAAATGTATGCCTTGTGGATTGAAACGTGGGTTACATATGCTCCTGTCTTTGTAAAACATTTAGTATTTAAAGGCGAACTTTTTTCTGAGGTATTTTAGATATGTTGTTGAAGTTCAGGAATAGACCATTAAAAAACAAATGTATCGTCTGCCAGTTTGATTTTCGGTGGAAAAACATTTAAAACTTCACAATTTGAGTGCGATCCAGCCTATGATATCATGAGCTTAATATAGTGTTCTGTAACAAATCCCAGTTTAAATTAAATATCATAAATGTCATTATATTTATGCTATAATTTCTGTTTAAAGATTAACTAGTTTATTTTTGGATACACACTAAACTGGCTACACTAGAATTCCAGGCAAGTATCCATTGGTTTCTATTGTATTTAACTAGCAGTGAATGATGCCTTCTGTGCTGGAAAATAACCCCAAGACAGCTGTGGCATCATTGCCAAGTCTGCAAACTAATTAATTATAAATGAAAAGAGAAACAAATCAAATGGTATAATTTTCTTCTGTATCCTGTCTGGTCTTTTAATTTGCAAAATCAAGGATTCCAGACTGCTGGAGAGAGCTGACAGACATGGCCAACCATTAATTTCTACCTGAAAGCAGTTTAATCCTCTTACCTCAATCAAAGCATTGCAACAAAAGGAAGAAATAAAGAGCAATGTTTTTGCAACTACATGCAGTCTTTGAAAGCAGCAAGACACACTAGAACTTCAGTTAGTTTTTTTGACATCTCCAGAATAATCGACACATAAACACCAGTAAAGGAGGAGTACAATTATTCAGTATGATTTTAGGTTGTTTATATAACGGCCTGTACACTGACTAAAATGAATATTCTTGTCCATTTCTGTTGCCTCACCACCTAGAACTATTCATGGAAGTTGTGATTTAAGCACATTTATAACATGCCATTCTGTATTGTATGTGTTCACAATTCATTTCCAAAGTTTTAGACATGAGTTACTTGTTTTTTTAAAAAAGGGTACCTGATATGAAGGGGGATTTACGTATCTGAGGCTCTTGGAAATACAGTTCTGAGAATAATGCCAGTATTAGTAATTTGTTTTATATCAATTATGGTTAGTGGACAAACAAATGGAAACTCCTGGATAAATGATGCACCGAGTATGTGGCACACCAATGTAGCTGTATGATGTAGATAATAACATCCAAGTTTGCTCAGGGTCATGCGCAAAAATGACCTCTTGCTCAACTTGCTGATGTGTCATGAGCAACCATGTCTAAGGTGATTTCAGCATGGAGCTCTGGGAAGAGCACCTCATTCACAAAGGATAAAGGATTCATGATTTTCAACAGCACGACTTTTGGAAAAAGATATTCACATGTGCACGTACTTAATTTATGAAGATATCTTTTTAATACTTTTAAAGAAAATAAAACTCGGATTTAACTGGCTAATTGGACATAAATATATAAAGTTAAAGAGGTGTGTTTTTTAATATGCGTGTTCTTAGTCTGCAGTCCAGAGCTTTTCTTACAGTTTTTCTTCTCTCTCAGTTCCTGATGTGCCAGTCATTGACCAGTCTCTGAGTCGCGTCTACAATGAAGGACTGATCTGCTGGCTGCTGCCAGAGGACTCTTCCCCTACTGACCACTACGTCCTGGAGTACAAGAAGCTGGATAATGAAGAGGAGACCTCCTGGCAGAGCAGTGACAAGGTGTACGGGAACAGCAAAGTTGTTTGTGACCTCGACTCCAGCAGCATGTATTCCTTCAGGGTTCGGAGCTGCCGCAACTCTGTTTATAGTCCCTACAGCCGAGAAGTGGCCTTTCATACACCACCAGCGCCAGGTGGGTAATCCTTCAGTTACCAAGTTAAATGTGTGTCTACTGCTTTATTATCCTGGATTAAATGCAGAATCTAAAAGTTCTAAAAAGTTATAAATACAGTAATATGGATTGAAACTTCTTTTGGTCTGATATAGCCTTTTTTAAGGGAAGCAATTCTATCCACAATCACTTAAGAAGCCACATGACCATTAACAGATGAATATCAATCTTTTATGCTTTACCTTGTGTATTACTGGATCTAGCAGAGTGCTTAGATATTGACTGAGGCCTCCAGATTGACCTGAAAGTACTTCAGAAGAGGTATTTAAGCTAATGAGGTTTGTGAAGTATCACTTTCAGACAATTGAAACCACTCTCTGCTCTGCTTCATTTCCTGAAGACCCTTTATATTGTCAAATTGATCAGAAAATGATCACGATTGGTTGCTGCTGGGTTTTTCTTGCATAACTTTGTGAATTGAGTTTTTTTTTTCATTGGAAAAGTGGAAGAATTTCTGATTGTTGTGTTCAGATACCGGCCTAATACATCTTGATTTTTTTTTTTTAAACCACTCCTTTTTCTTGACTAGATTTGATTTTTTTTTTTAACTCAAGCATGTATATGTACCATTTAACTATTATCTTACAGAGTTGATTACAGTATTATAAATATGCTTTTAACTCCTTGGGGTGGATGAGAATGGGCTCGACTTGAAACATTGTCAGGTTTATGCACAGTGGCATATTAACTAATATCTGCACAATCTTGGCAGTGTACGGAAATCAACTAATTTGAGGAAAAATTATTTACTTTTCATACGGAACTGGATTTTATTTGTTAACCCCCATTAAGTATCCTTTTCTCTATATCAAATGGAGAATGTTGTGGAAGTTTTGATTGGAATTATTCTTAGTTGTAATTCACTCTTCACCCAGTAGAGGACAGTAAAGAGCAGCAGTTTGGAAGGCTCCCTTTGCTTCTGATGGAGAGAGACGTTGTGCTATATTTCCCAGTCTAGACATTCCCTTTCCTTGACACTTTGGGGCCCAGAAAGGCCTTGAAAGCCTGTAGCCTTGGAGAGGAGTGCTCACTGAATCTGGGGGAGATAAGAAGGGTGAACAGAGTGGCTGCCAGCGGAAGGCTCCAGAAGGCTGTCAAAGCGTAGATTCTGTCAAGCAGGACACTTTCTGTTCAGACACAAAAGGGTTTTTCTGAAACGCCTTTTAAAACACTTCCGACAAACGACAGGGCTGCATTATTTATTGATATATATATATATTTATCTCCGTGCCTGGCAGGTTTGCTCTAAGCTTAAGCTGGAAAGTGTCCCAGATTTCATTAATTTAAAAACGCATCCAAATTCCTTAATTCCTCAGGACTTGTAAGAGCAAATGAGCAGTGGGTTATTAATGAGCTGGAATTCCATGCTGGTAAAAAGCTGATGGTGATGGCTTGCGAACACTGCCACATCTTTGAGCCAGTTAGCATTGAAATGCACAGTGTCTGGAACCACCATAGCGCATCTCAACTGCCATTTGCAGATTGTAGTATTAAAGTGAATTGTAAAGTTTAAATATTGCAATTTCTAATGTTAAACTTGCATACTGGGTATTCTCTCACTGAAGCAGCTCAGTTTGTCTCCTGACCAGTGCCAGATAAATGAAGCTGGTTTGTCTGTTTACCTAATTCATCATCAGCCTTTATTATTGATGTACATGCATGTTTTTGTGAAAACAATTCTCCCGGCTGCTCACATTGTCAAGCCTGAATTTGATCATAGCACCTAACAAGGATGTTTCTCTTCACTTCAGTTCAGAAACAGAAATCTGATAAACAACTATCAGATTAGTTCCATGTCTATCGCTATGTTCCATGTGGAATAAAACCTTTTTTGATTTCTGGCAGCCCTTCAGAGAAACATAAAGGAGATTAAATGGTGAATTGCAGTTATCGCACTTTAAAAGGAATTCCGATTTGTGCTAAAAGCAGAATTATCTTAAGAACCTTAATAAGGTAGTATTGTTTTTCTATCGAAGGCTGTGGTGCATTATTTTAAACTGAAGTAGCTACTGAGTGACAGACTAAATATTTAATGTGGAAAATGTGGTTTGTTTACCAGTAATTTAATCCAGATAATTGTGGGTATGCTGGCCAAACATGAATGAAGTTGGAAATGCAGGTTTTTACAGGACACAGTGACAATTACTAAAGTTTTAAAAAAATATTATACTTTTAAGCCTCCCCATGTGTCAGGGACTGCCATTTGTGAACAAAATTAAGTAACATAGATTGTCTGAAATGGTTTGACAAGAGATGAAGTGGGTGTAAATGTGAGAGACTTGAGACTCTTGAGCCCTTTAAAAGTTGTCATAAGTAGGATTATGTGTGATTTTTATGCCTCAAAACCTTAACCCTTTAAGGGGTTTTTTCAAAAATTTTTTTTTACACGCAAGCTTCTTAAATCAGATCATTTTGGGATAGGTGTCACAATTCTTTGATCTACAGTGTAAATAGGCGTTATTTTGAATAACTGCAAATCATTTTCTTTTGCTCACAATAATTTAAGTAATTCATTGTTGATTTTCAAACTTTGTTTCGATGTTTGCTTGAATGTTCAAACGGCAAGTAAAGTGAAGTATTGGACAAATGTTCTTCAGTCAGATGGAACCAAAACAGTCTAGCTGAACTAATTGTGATGAGGTAAAGGAAAGTGCAACTAAGTGGGCCTCTGGCTACTGAAGTTACCATGACGATGAATTTGACAAACATGCAAAGTTGCTTCAGCATTGTCATTGGGAACCTAGGGTTGATTCAAGTAAAATGATTGTGTTGTTCTATGCAGTGTATGCATTTCCAGTTATTAAGCAGAGTACAATAAGTATGAACGTTGACGCATACCTTTATTCAGCCTGTTGGCAGATCAGCTTGTTATGTTTGATGTTCTAGTGTCGAAGCAGGTTTTCATGGAATTCTACCTACTGAAGTGGAGGAGATAATGTTGAGTGTCAAAACGTACTTGGTACCAGATGCTCTCGACCTTAATGCTTACTGATAAACTCCCAGCAGAAGGAGAAGCCAGTATTCCCACCTGGTGCGCTAGACCTCAAACAATGCGATGATTTCATTTATTTTCATCAGAACTCCTCCACTGTGTTAATGTGGAGCTCAGGGCTGTAAACATAAGTGCCATATTCAGAAAAGTACTGTATGTATTCATTGTACCTATATTATTGTTTAAAATTTCAGTTTATAGTAACATGGATTTGTTGGTCAGAATTTTAATTCATAGCTAAGTTTACCCTTACATATAATAGGTCAAAAGGCTCTTTGGATGATGCCATGTAATAGTTCCTGACTAGGAGTGTGTGTAGCAGGAGTACAGCGTTTAATATTTACCAATTCACTTTGAGGAAAAAATTAAATGGCATTAACAATTGGTGTTTGACAAAAATGATTCGTATAACGCCAAAAATACACAGAACATTGTGTGACATTTTCCAATTTTTTAATATATCACTTATGACTGACTTTAAGTTTCACACTCCCCTTTTTTTTAAATAGTGTGCATTGCACAGGTGGCATTAAGGAGTCAGGCATTGTGTCATTAAGGAGTTTAGCTGGACTAGCCTGAAGCTGTTTGTTGCTTTCAATATGTTAAATTGTTAAAGTAGATTGCTTTTACAACATATATTCTTACATACAGGTATTTTTATTGTGTAGTTCCATTCTATTTCTGTTTTCCCAAGCTGCTGTTTATGTGTATGGTATTTCTAAACAAATTTGCTCTAAAAGGAATGGATTATTCCATAATCCAGTTTCATTTATTTGCAATTTCCATTATTCGTTTCATTTGGTTATTCCCTTTATCATTTTTTTTTCTTTTTAATTATTGTTGTCTCCATTTTTTTTTTCTCCTGTTGCTTTTTAAAATAATCTGAGCCTCAGCTTTGAGTAATCTATAAAGAAACTGTTGCCTATGTGGAGGGAGGTTTCTGGGCTGCTTTGCTACCGATTTGATAAATCACTTCTTATGCTCGTTGCACAAACCCGCTTCGACAATGGAAGTCAGTGCAATGTAATGGCAAGACTATTACTGCTTGTTACAGGAGCAGCATTAACAGGATGGGGTGTATGTATGAATCTGTCAGGGTTCTGCCTTAGATCTGATTTCTACAAGACTGAGAACCCATGGTGGTAGGAATTGCACTACCAAAACCCTACTTTTCTGGAACATCTTCAGTGGCGGTGTGTCAGACACCTGAAGGTTCTCCTGTCTTCTGTTTGTCTGCAGTGTTCAGTTTCCTGCTCGATGACAAGTGTGGATTCAGCCCGGAGCGCCTGCTTTTGAGCAAGAAACGGGACTCGGTGGAAAGTGTCGCGGGGCTGGCTCTCCTGCTGGGCTCGGAGCGAATCCAGATGGGCAGTTACGTTTGCCTGGACTATATCGTTGGGGACACGGGCATCTCTCGGGGGAGGCACTACTGGGCCTTCCAAGTGGAGCCCCGATCCTACCTGGTGAAGGTGGGCGTGGCCTCGGACACGAAGCTGAAGGAGTGGTTCCACAACCCTCGGGACACGAGCAGCCCCAGGTGAGCATCTCGCCAGCTGAAGCCTCCGTGTCGGTACCGTCCCCACTGCTGGGGGTGTCCCGCTGCAACCACACCGCCACAGGGCCCATGCAGGTGTAGGTAAAGTCGAGCTTTGTTAGACGCTGCGAGACGATGAGTGTTCTATGCAGTGCCTATATTTGCAATCGCTAGGCCAAGTGCAATAAGATGAAACTTTGACGCATAACTTTTATTCAGCCTGCCGACATAACCAGCTGATCAACATGTTTGGTATGCTAGCGTCGAAGCTGGGGAGCAAGTTTTAATGGAATCCTACCTATGGAGGCGGAGGAGATAACGTTGTGCGTCAAAACGTTCTTCAGCACCAGATGCTCTCTATTTTACTAGTGATCACTAAGATCCCAGCAAATAGAAAGGTCTGGATTCCCGCCTGCACCCCTGAACCTCGGACGATCTTATATGTATGTGAAGGGAATTAGAGGAGTATTGTACTCGTATTCATGACAGTCTTTTTACTAGAAACCACCTGACGACAGTGCATTGTATAAATGTTTCAGTTCAGACATCATTAATTTTCCTAGAAACAAACTTGATTAACTTTGCAACTTGGGCAGTTTCTGTGCGTCTCGGAAGAGCTATTGCTTTATGTAAAGTCCCTGAAGAACCACATCCTGATGTAAAACTGTTCAGCACCTGTTAGTCACAACCAGAAAACAAATCCGCTTAATCAACAATAACATTTAGCATTGATCTGGTTTGCTTTTCATCTAAGTTGTTTTTTTTTCCCCCCCACTTGAAGTCATAAAAGTGAATAATGCACCCTAAAAGATTTGGCTTGTGCAGTTTCTGTTCTATGCTTGAAAAACATGATAGTTAAAAAAAAAAGTTAACATGATAGCAGAATATATTGTATGATAGTAGAATAATATAAGTCCTGTTAATTTTTAATATTTCTCCTGATTAAAATCTACAGTATTTTCATTTTGAATACTAACATTGTAGAAGCCTTTCACAATTTCTAGATATTTCAGAAAATTAAATATTTAGTTTCATTTTCTAAATGCAATATACATGTTTATAGGAAATGTGTTCTCTGACTTAATGTAAAACCATTTTTCTCCCGATTGGAATGGTTAAGTCTGTTACAAATTCTTTCTGGCTTTTGTGGGGGGAATGACTGCTGTTTTAAAGTGATTGTCACTTTCTTTTTTACAGGTATGACCACGACAGTGGCCATGACAGTGGGAGTGAAGACACCTGCTATGACCTCTCTCAGCCTTTCACGCTGGTCACCATTGGAATGGGAAAACTCATCATCCCCAAGGGGTCCATTGCAGCCTCTGGAGACTACAACAGCCGTGTCTTGCCTATGCCTCATCGTATTGGCATCTGTCTAGACTATGAGAAAGGAAAGGTTTACTTTTATGATGCGGACAACATGAGGTGCCTTTATGAGCGACAAGTGGATTGCACAGGAACCATGTTCCCTGCCTTCGGGCTTATGGGTAGTGGCGGAGTATGTTTGGAGGAGTTTATCACAGCTAAGCGTTTGGCATATACTGAGGACACTCAGTAGACAAGGACGTCACTGATCTGTCACGTCTCATTTCACCTGATTGTCACCTGGCTGTGAGACTTACACTGCTTTAGTGAATGAACGATCAACCTTTATGGGTGCACAATAGTGGTTAAAGACTTGAATCATGGTGTGGCAAAAGTCTTTTTTTTTTTTTTTTAAGTTTTTGTAGTTGGTTTCTGAGCTTTGAAGACCTGGTTTTTCACTTCTGTGATGAGACTTAAATATTTATAAGTGGCATAACACTACAGGTCACGTAATGCACATGACAAGTGAAAACTTGGTAACCTCACGTCTGATCACTGGTGTGCCTTTTGTAGGCCTTTAGGGCTCCATAAGATCCGGCAAGATCATATGTGAAATTTATTGGCTGCTGATACAAGGCATGTATGTTAAGGTTTTTATTTTGCATCATCCTAAAATTCACTGGAACATAACAGCGTATCTCGTACTCAGCCATTTGAGTTGCTTGCTGTTTCCCTGACACGATTACAACACTTTACTGAATAAGGCTTATTTCTATTAATGTGTGTTCTGAAAGGAAAAAAGCTAATTTTGATAAATAATGTCACTTCTGTAAATCCCAAAGGATAAATTATTGGCACAGATGTGAAGTAAACTGGTTCTCTACACCATTCGTTTTTTTAAAAGGGTGAAATAGCAGTTCAACAGCATGAAATTATCTCAAACATAATTTGGATATCAAGACCTAGCATCTGTTTGTTACAGTATGGAGTCTTCAGTCTCTCACTGGTTTCATGGACCATTGTTCACCATAAATTTAGGAATAACTTCCCCAGTAGATTAGGGTCCAGCATTAGTGCTGCTTCTTTAGACTATAAAAGCAGATCATAGTTCAGTTAATTCTCTCCTTTTTGAAGACGTATTTAGGATTTCACTCAAGCCTTTTGTTTCTAGTTTTTGTTTTGATAAAAGTAGACCTTTTTTATCCATGCAATTTTTAAATAAATTTCTCCAGTATATAGGGAGTAATATTCTGACTGTTGTTGGTGTGTCACCTAATGGACTTTGAATAAAAGTAATCAAAAGTGCCAGTTTTGAAATTAACAGAGCCCATTCCACTTTGGAAAATAAACCAAACACTATTGAAGATGTGAAGTAAAGGCTGGAGAGTGGAACTGGGGCTCTGTGTAATGATAGCAGACTCCTTGACAATCAGCACTAGAGGTTTTCAGAGTCTTTTAATTGAACTAGTTTATTTTAGAGAAATGTTAATTTTCTTAATCATTGAAATTAAACATCTGCAAAAATTATTTGAACATAGTTTTGATTTCAGAAGCAGAATGGGGGAAAAAAAGAAAGGAGCAAATGTAAAGAATCGGTCTCCTGCCACAAGGTACTCCAAAACATCTTTTATTTTGTATTAAAATATTGAATTCATCTTTTTGGTTAATGAAAGCCATACCTGATAAAGAAATTCACAGTTTCATAAATAGTTAAGTGATTCAAAAGACAAAAACATTTAAAATAGGTGGACTGAATGCAGGTTGGAGCATTTCCCAACTTGAATTTCCCATTATGAATTATATTCTTGTTGTTTATGAATACGAGAAATGGATGTGTAATATTTTTGCTGTTGTGGAAGGTTTAGATCAAAAAGTATAAAAAAAACTATCTAGTGGAAGACTGTTTGACCATTGTAGCTGTTTACCCTCCCTTTCTCAAAAATAGGGAAACGCTGCTGTGTGATGAACAAAGGACATGCACTTGGGCACCCTGTTATTGGCTGCGGTATTGAGGTGTGGCCTTAACTTGAATGATTCTACATAGTCCGCTGTGTGTGATGTGTGCAACGACAGATAGAGACTAACAACTTGGTGCTCGAAACTACTTGACTTTTTAACAGTTTGGTGTGAAGATCCTAAAAGAGGGTGGAGGTAGGGAGGTAGTAGTAAGACTGATGCCATCATAACAGCATACTATGTTGATTTTAAGCAGGCCTGCATATTTGAGGAAAGGGAAATTGCTGCCCACTATATGCAGGAAAAGCAGCATGGCAAGTGGCTGTGTGCATTCGTATATGTGAACTGGTGGGACATTTGGAAAAGAACTGGGTTCAGGGACCAAACTGGGCCTTCTCTGAATCACTACTTCTTAAACTCCTGCTCTTAGCCTGATCAAGTAAGCCATTTACTATTTTCAATTATACTGTAATTTTAATGGAATTCTGGAGAATATTTACGTTTGTAGTCCTTTTTTTACTATTGTGCTTCCTGAGAGAATATTAGTGGTGCTTAGATCATGGCCTAATCTAGGGCCAGTCAATGCCTACCTCCTTTCTATATGATTTTAGACACTCCCAGAAATATTGTACTTTGTAATCAATGAGTTTTCACACTTTTCTATGTCAAACTTTTGATTTAATAATTTCCCCTTTTTTGTCAGATCTTTTTAGCATCAGGATTAGGTTACAGAAGCCTAAAATATGAGAATACACTGCCTTTCAACACTTTCCCCCAGGCTAATCTTACAGTGATTGTATTCTTCATAGGTACAAAAAGTTTAAAGGAAATGGTTGTTAAAGATGTCATCGAACCATTAAAGTGGTGGTTATTTTGCTTGTAAGCACATCACTCAATTTAGTACTTATTGTTATGAAAACACTATCAGCAGCAGTAAACAGGGGTTTTAATTTGAAGTAAGTGCATGAATCCAATTTTAAAGCAAAATTAATACATTGTGTTCTAATAAAACATTTTGGTTTTACGTTCGCAGCCTGAAGAGGAAATCCCCTAGACCCCAAGGCCTTCACAGTCTAAAACAATCCCCTTCTGCTTAATTCCAGCTCTCTTGGACAAAACAAGAACAATCAAAAGCTTAGATTTTGATTGTATGGTTAGTGGGTTTAGTATTGCTGAATGCTGTGAATGTAAACAGCTGCCCTGTGCCTAAAAGACAGCACTCCACATGGGCTTTGTAAAGTGTGAACATTCTCGTGATATCTCCCTCATGCTTTTGTGTTTTGAGTGAGGAATTACCGTCCTATGTCTCTTAAAATGAGTGGTGAATTTGAGATTCTTTTCTCCAGTCAGACTTTCAAAAATACAAGTGTGGCGACTGAGGAAAATATATCTGAGTTGTTTGTGTTTTCTACTTAAATTCCCTACAGCCTTTTTCCTCTGATCAGAGCTTTTATACCAAAACAAGATCTTTCCTTCTGTGCTAGATCAGGGTGTGAAATTGAAATTGATCACAATGAAACAGTGAGTAGACAGCCTTATAAACTTAGAGTGCTTTTGCATGGCCTTCCTTCAGATCAGTTTTGGAATACTCCTCTTACCTTGTATTTAATAAACATATTGCAGTTTAGTGTCTGATGCTTTTTGTAGCCTTAATATTTAGATTCCTCAAAAGAGATGTTATAAGACAACCAATAGGTAATGCACACTAAAATGTTTAGAGAATTTTAACTTTCTACAACTTACTTTTTGCAAAGCTACAGCACTTTATAGCATGTACTTCACAAAGCGCTCTGCAGGCCTGTGTGAATTCTTGTGCAATATGGCTGCTAGACTGGTATAATTCTTAATCTCTTGTATTGACCTAAAACTTGGAAGTGGAGCAATAAAGATATGTGGAGATGGTTTTCTGGGGAAAAACATGTAAAGACTTTAATGGGAGGCTTTTTTCTGTAAATCTGAATTGCGATGTATGTCTTTCTCATGGTCTTTTTTTTTTTTGCTGTAATTTATGGGTTTGGTTTTATAAAAAAATAAAAGTATATACATACAATAGCTCCTGAGTGTTATTCGTTTACCAGAGGCATGATGGGCAACTCATTTTTTAAAACGTTTCTTAAAGAAATCCAAAATAAGATACAAGGATGTGTCCCTACCTAACTTAGACATTGCATGACTCTAAAAGCTATAAAAAATGGGTCTAGATAATTAAAAACTACTTTTTACCGTGTCAGCTAGGCAATGAGCATGAGGCGCTCGGAGTCCCCACATAGAGTGAGTCAAGAGGCTGCTACAATGACTGCGATGGTGGTGGTTCAGTTTGTTTGTCTTACGCACAAGTGCGATGAAATGTGTATTTGCATGTGTGCCCCAGTACAAAGACATAAACACAGAACTGGACTGGACTGGGCTGACGTGATCACCCCCTGTAATGCCTTTTGGTCAGATGAGCTGCTGCCAAACCAGCTGTTTGGGGGAGTTGAAGGATCTGTGACCCGTATTTGCTCAGAGGAAAGGTCAAGCCACAGATAGAATTCCCTCTAGCTTATACATTTTTTGAGAGTTAAAGCTGTACTACAAGTCCTGAGCTCTGACCATATATCTGTAGAATAAAATAAGTTAATTTTTATTTTAATTGTAAAATGAGTGAGCTGTAAAAATGATTAAACAAAATGTGAAACTATGGCAAGATTCTACGATCTGTCGGTTACAAGTGCTGTGCAATGGAATACAGTACTGAAAGTTTCTGAACTCGCAATGTAACTTGGAATTATAATTTCTTTCCCTGATACCCTTGTTTCATTGATACCATTGTAACCGAGTCGGTTTATGGGCTGCCTTTTTCACCAGTGGAGGGTCGATACTTCTGGTTGAGGCAGAGAGCTGACGTGTAGTCACAGGGATGCGTTCTCTTTAGCCCGCACAAATTAGTGTAGCTATGAGAGGGTAGAAGATTCTATAAGGGAATATAACGGATGTCCGCAGCCTTATAGCTGGTACCGTGGTTCTGAGGCGAACACAGGGAGGTCGCGTGACAATGTTATGTATAGTTTCTTAATGAGGACCCAGGTGTACATTCTCATGTGAAACTGGTTAGATAGAGGGCAGCTAGAAGGCCCTCTAGTGGTGTACAGTGGGAAAATCCTCCCCACTCTCACACTATCCATCCATTTTCTAACCACTTTGTCCAGTACGGGCTTCCAAAAGAAGAACCTCTTCCTGACCTTCACATCTTATGGTGTGCCATCAATGATGGAACTGTAAATATGCTGCTTTATCTTTGCTTTAGTCCAGAGGAGAATGTCAGGCCATCAGTTCATCAGCAAAAGCAGAGCCAAAAGTGGGTCATATAGCAAAACAAAGATCCTAAATATTCAGACATCAATGGCAGAATGGCCAAAGAAGAAAGCTCATTTTAATAATAATTCCTTAC